CGAAGTGCTGGGCTGGGTTCCCCAGGGAGGGGGTGGAGTCTCCATCCCTAGGGGTGTGCACATCCCAGCTGGACCAAGCCCGGCTGGGCTGATTGAGTTGGGCTGGTCCTGCTTTGGGCAGGGGGCTGACTCGATGGCTCCGGAGGTCTCCGCCAGCTCCCATTCTATGCGTCTATGATTTGGGCTTCTGCTGCTATGGATTCGGAGCCATAAGGAGAGGTTGGGAGCCCCTGCTCCGTGCTGCGGCCTCAGCTTCCTGCTGGGCTGGCAACCGCCCCGGCCATCCGTGCTGGAGGGGCTGCTTCCCCTGGGGATCCTGGAGTCTCCTCTTCCCGTTATTCCCCCAGCTCGCGCCAGTGGTGGCTGCAGAGTCCGGGGATCCGTGGCCAGCAGGAGCTCCGGCCCTCGCTTTCCCGCTCGCCATGCAGGGCTCCCTCGCGCTTGGCCTCCTGGCCGTGTTCCTCGCTGCAGTGAAAGGCCAAGGTGAGTCTCCCTGCCAGGCGCTTCACAACCGTCCTATTCGCCCTGCTCCAGAGGTCACCCCCATCTGCCCCACTGGACCCATGGACTCTACTGGAGTCACTCCGGATTTATCCCGTGTCACCCCACTGGCTTAGCTGGAGTCATTCCTGATTTATCCCAGTGTCACCCTATTGACTTAACTAGAGTCACCCCTGATTTATCCCAGTGTCACCCCACTGGCTTAACTGGAGTCACTCCTGATTGATCCCAGTGTCACCCTATTGACTTAACTGGAAACACTCCTGATCTGCTCCAAATGTGGGCTCAGATGGTATGTCTAGACGACAGGCTTTTGTCGACAGAAGTTTTGTTGACAGATACTGTCGACAAAGCGTCTGTCGACAAAGAGCGTCTAGACGACAGCCAGTTCTGTGGAGAAAGCAAGCCGCTTTGTCGACATAACAGTGTGGACGCAAAGGACAGTGTAGATGCAATAACGCCTTCTGTCGACAGAACTCTGCTGACGAAAGGCGTTATTCCTCGCAGAATGAGGTTTACTGCCGTTGACAAAACTGCTGAGTTCTGTCGACGTTATGTCAACAGAACTCAGCGGCAGTGTAGACGCAGGTCTAGTTATCTCGACAGAAGTCTAGACACAGCCAGACTGTCTGGCCACACTTCAGCCAATACTCTGTAATCCTCTGATAAGGCCATGTCAGGTGGACACTCTGGAAAATTAACCCCAGAATGAGGTTTTGAAATGGGTGAAACCCATCTCACTTGGAATGCATGTGGCTTTTCTTCAGTTTCTTCATTCACCTCCAAAGTGAATTAAATGGAATTGAATCAAGGCCACTTTAATCCCAACAGAAAGTGCCCACAGGGGAGTTTAACCAACCCAGTTTAAATGCACCTTTTGGTGAATGCAGATTAAAAATGGACTTCAGTCACTTTCCTTCAGCACCACTGTGCAGTTCAGTGAGTGTTTGCACTGGGGTTTAAGATGGTTTTTTAAGTAATGTGGATTGGTGAATTAAGCCTTAGGGACACACAAGAAGGGAGGGACCTTTGCACCAGAATGACCCTGGCCCGGGGGCGTTTCTCCCTGCAGATGTCTGTTCAAGTTGCACTGGGTCCCCCGAGCAGTGTTTAAGCAACATGCAGAATTGCTCTGTTAACTTCACCGAGGGGGCCTGTGTCTTCACGCTGGAAAACACCTTCTCAGGTGAGTGAGCGGGGCCTGGCGCTCCCCGGCCCACCCCAACTGGCCTCGTTTTCAGGCCCCCCCTGCTGCCCCTCACTCCCAGGGGCTTAGCCGAGTTCAGGGCCATGCCGGGCGCTTCCACTAGCGGGAGACATAAATGAGGTCGGCCCGGTCTGGTTTTAAGTGTGGAAGGGGCTGTGGTGTGGGGGGAGGAGGCTGCGTTGTGTGGGGCGTGTGGTGTGGTGGAGAGGGCTGTGTTGCGTGTGGTGTGCGGGGAGGAGGCTGCGTTGTGTGGGGTGTATGGTGTGGAGGAGAAGGCTGTGTTGTGTGTGGTCTGGGGGGAAGGGGTTGCGTTGTGTGGGGCGTGTGGTGTGGGGGGAAGGGACTGCATTGTGTGGTGTGGGGAGAGGGGGTTGCCGCGTTGTGTGGGGCGTGTGGTGTGGTGGAGAGGGCTGTGTTGCGTGTGGTGTGCGGGGAGGAGGCTGCGTTGTGTGGGGTGTATGGTGTGGAGGAGAAGGCTGTGTTGTGTGTGGTCTGGGGGGAAGGGGTTGCGTTGTGTGGGGCGTGTGGTGTGGGGGGAAGGGACTGCATTGTGTGGTGTGGGGAGAGGGGGTTGCCTT